ATATATATATATATATATATATATATATATATATATATATATATATATTATATTTTATATATATATATATATTATATATATACGGGAAGGTGTGTTCGGCGCCAAATTGGGATTGGACTTTAGCGCTCGTTAAAAGCGCGATTGCGCGTCCGAAGATTGCGTAGTCGATCGCGTTATAATTCCGCTAGACTGAAGTGATATGAATGAACGGAGAAAATGTGTATGTTTCTTCTCTTCCATTCTCTCCTCTCGACTCTTTGAGCATATTTAACACGCTCTACTTGCGCGCTTTACCAAGTCATTGAAATTATCTCGATGATGCCGCGTCGCGAAAAATAACATGACTCGTAATAACATGCACATTCTTTTGATACGACGTAGGAAACGTCGTCGATGTTCCGTTTTTTTTTCTTTTTTTTTGAAGAAAATTTATATATTTAACGTACACATAATCGATAACAATTATTATCACATTAAAACGTAGAATACATTATTATTACGTTAAAAAATAATGATCCATTCCAACGAATGTTTTAAAACTCGAAATTGTACGCACTACTGCGTATACAATTTTACTGATAATATCTTACGATAATCTTTAATTAAATCATAGAACTTGTGTATATTATTAGTTCGAAAATATATACGACGTGTGTGCTATCGGTCAATTTCAAGCACTAAAATAAATCTAATAGCGTCTGGCAACTTTTGACGATCCCGTTATGTGGTTGGAGCATTGCTAATCAAAGCACCGAACAGATGAGACTCTCAACCATCGATCATCCCACGAAGAAATCCATGTACCAGATGAGGCATGCAAGTTTATTACACTCGGCATTTTGCAAATTACTTGTTACTAAACGACATAGTTAAAATTTAAACAATATCTCCTCTTTCTCTCTCAATTTATTTATTAACAATATTTGTTAACGTTTTAATTTAATTTGCTCTAATTGTTTTATTTTAATGTTCATTGCTTCAATTTTCTTCTTGTATTTATTATATTTACGATCTTTTTATTTTATTCTTATTTTTTTTCTTCGTAGTTTTGCATCTTATTAGTTTTTTTCTGATTGTATTTTTTCATGAACAATTTGAAAATTTGTGATTTTATAAGGTCTTTGTGCGATTAACGGGATTATATTCTAGAGCGCTTTATAAACAAAGCTTTTAATCTATCAATCAATCAACTTCTCTCTTTTTTTCCAATAAGTTTTGGAAAAAAATTCTCATAGGATGTGTTAACTGGTAAAGACCAGCCGAACGCGGCAACCGCAAAGGATAAAAGCGTCCGACGCGCGAATAAGTGACGCGCAGCGAACCGTGATAATTAATCAAACCGATCACGTCAAATTCCAAGATTTGACGATATCTTTCCGCCTCAATCAGTCCGTCGCTTTTGTAATTTTGAAAATATTTTTGCAAGAGAGCTAAAAGTATCGGACAAACACGTGCCAAGTAAACGGTTTAAAGAAAAATTCAGTAGTCAGCATAGCCGCCACGTGAGTCACGTGTACGCGAGAGATTTTAATTAATAAAACTGTCGGCCAAGTTGTGCCAAGTTGTGTGTGACTCACCGTCAGGATTAGTGAAGTATCCCCAGGTAGGAATAGCGGTGGCTACCGATTGGATGGCCAGTGCGACGATGCTCAGGGCCAGAGCGGCCGCGGTGCCCCGCGCCGCGACGGCGCGTTTTTCGCTCCGCTGCGGATCGGTGGTCGTCGTGGCGACTGCCCTCACGCCCTGACGACTGTTTGACGGATTGGCTGCCATTCTTCATGCCGTTTGTTGGTTCTCCGAACGTTCACGATGCGTCGCTCATATTTATAACATCCGAATCGATCTGCTTGCCGACAACCCGACTGTGAGATCGGCGATTTGAAGATTCTCAACCGGTAGAATAGTTAGATGATTTAGAGAATAAATATGTTCTCTTAAAAGTGTCAATTTATTGCAGACGGATTTTGTAATTTTACAGCCTTACCGGATTCGACCGGAAATTAAAAACGCTTCGAGTATCGACGCGATAATCGATGCAACTGACGAGTATCGATTTTTAACGCTTGTATCGTTAACTAGGAAAACGAACAAAATCGATCTTTCGCGAATTCGTCAAGTTTTTGTCAAAAACATCAAAAGCAGACTAGCGTAACACGTGTTCCTAATTGTTTTTATTTCTCCTTAAAAACTGTTCGTACCGATTCTTTGGTAATGAGAGCTCATCCTCGAGAAATGTCTTTTAATCCTGTTGGCGCGAGAGTCCTTGACTCTCTTTATCGGAAACCCAACGGTACCAGCTGGTGTCAGGTCGCTCCTTTTAATTGCAAAGTCACGCGGTAAGTCCTCTCCTTCTCGTCGTCGTCGTCGTCGTCTTCGTCGTCGCCTTCGTCGTTTTTGCTGTCGCGGTCGATAATCGAATCTCGTGTTAGCCGCGTTGTCGCACGCATGCAATCGATATCCGTGCCTCGTGAGCAAGAAAGAACGGTGAGAGAGAGAGATGAGTATGACCGGCCGGTGAGAGATAGAAGGGAACGAGCGCGAGGTGTGGTGGGACACAGAGGAATCACGCGCGTATCGGGTGAAGCGAATTCCACCGTTCCGTGTTGTTGTTTCCTTTTGTCCTGCGCACTCTTGTGAATGTCGCATACACACACGAGACCGCTCGCGGATGTATCACATCGATTGTTCCATCGCGGATACTCTTTATCGTTAATTTCTGTACATTAGTCATATGTTGTATTTTTTTTTTTTTAATGTTTTGTGTGTGCTCGAGGCAGTTTTTGTCCCGAAGCGATTCTCAAATTTATCTCGTTATTTCTCTCCCTTCCGAAGCCGTCAAGAGACAAAACACGCCTCTATCATCTGCATACGTGTTATATCTTCCTCGTTCGGAAACCCTTGGTTGAAGACGATCGGATCCCTTCGGAGAACCGGTTTGTGCCAACGTGCGACGTTGCTAAAAATAAGGATGTCTTCTCTCTTTCTCGTTCTTTGATTATCTCTTGCTCCTTTTCTCACTCGCGAGTTCCTCTCGTTGTCTCTCTCGTCGAGAGGATATAATTCCAGCGGGAAAGCGGAACGTAGATGCCGGGACGCGCATTGCGCGCTGAATCGATCGTTGATCGGCGATCGGTTCGACGATCACCGTTTCATCGTTAACGACGTTCGGTTCTGTGTCGAGGAGATATCCTCTCTTCGTTTTCTTCTAACGTGTAATCTTTTGCTCTTTTCTCCGCGGGTCAAAAAACAACAAAGTCAACTTTCTCTTCTACATCGTCAACATCATCGTCGTCGTCTTGAACAAGCTGAGATCGGCGCTCGGCGAACTTATCTATTCGCCGAGCCGCTCTGGAGGTCACGCGTGTCCGTTAGGTAAGGTTGGATCAGTGGCTGGTAATCGCTCGCTGTTTAACGTGTAGACTATAGTACCACTATAGTTATCGATCGGATATGTTCGCTTCATTTCGTGCGCCACGTCTCAAGCCCGACAAGTTTCGCAACGGTGCGGAGCTAGAACGCTTCGTTCGTTCCTTCATCTGTTTTTTTACGTTTTCGTCGTTTGTTTTCTACCTTGTTCCTCTGTTTCTGGTTCCTTCTTCTTTCTCCCTCTCTCTCTCTCTCTCACACACTCTCTCTCTCTGTCACTCGTTGAACAACATCGCTCGATTTTCCCGCTCTTTCCCGTAACGAAAGATCCGGAACTCTTGCGCAGTCGATGTCACTTTCGCCCCGTGTCACCGTGCCATCGTGTAATTAGGTCGCGCGCAAAACTCCCGCGCGACGCACTTTTTTTCATCCGAGAGATTCACACGAGATAAAGAACTCTGTTCGCTTGATTATCTCTCGGCGCGTACAACACGCGTAGCGAAGAGAACAACACTACTCACTTCTACGTTAAAAGTCGATTCGGCCGCTTGGTGGCCGCGTCGCGGCGTAACGGCCGATCACGGAGTGTGTCGTTAACTGTGTCTGCTCGCTCGACGCACTCGCGCACAAAAATCCGAATCTTACGCACACACAGACACACGGCGGGGGGAAGAATTATACGCATTCGCTCGCAACGACGAGAGAGCCGAACTTACGTTACGCGGAAATCACGCAGGAAAAGGTGGGTCGCGTAACGCGGACGAAAAAAAAAGAAGCTCGGAGGAGGATTCTGTTTGTACCTGCGTACTGATCGATGCGCGCGCGCGCGCATTTATGCACGCACGTACGTACGTACGCGAGGAATTACGGAGCGTGCGTGCAAAAGCGCTGTTGGACGCGAAGAAAAGAAGGAGAAAGAGGGCACGCCGCGTGGGCAACGTGAGCAACAAGGAGACGACGAGAGAGAGAACCGAGTAATACGTGTACGCGAGGCCTGCGCGCTGCACGGCGTACTAAACTTCGATACCGACCGGCGAGACCGGGCTGCCTCGACGCGCGCGCGCTTCGTCTCTCTCGGTTCTCTCTCATCGCTCCGCCTGTCTCCGTTTCTCCCAGGTCGCACCGTCTCCTGCTCGCCCCTCTGCTTTTCCTGCACATATACGCTTTGTCACTTACACATACACGTGGTCTTCACTCATGACTTGGCGGCTCTCTCTCGCTTACATTCGCGCTGGTACTCTCGAGTTCCCAATTCTTTCTTTTCTACTCCCCTTCTCTCTCTCTCTTTTTCTTTTTTTTTCTTGTAGTTTTCAACAAACATAGCCAAAAAATTATTCTTCTGTTTTTTTGCAATCGCATTAATATTGCGCAATATCCTTTACAGCACGAAATATTTGCTTAAGACGCGTAATAATAATTCATTTTTACGATTTCAAAGGTGGACAGTATGCGACCATTGAACACATATCAAACAGTCTACATTATCTTGTGACATTTCCGAAGTGCAGTCTTATCTATTTCCTATGCATATTTTATTTTCGATTTGCAATCTTATTCATTTCCTTTGCATCATTTAGTATCTTTGAATAAATCCAAATAATTTTTATTTGCATTTTTTCGTTAAAACAACAGCTGATGTCAGGCTTACATAAAATTATCGTCAAATAAAGAGTCAGTTCGTCGCAGTAGCATTTACAAATCGCCGGTCACATCAATAAGTCCTCAATAACACGTAATAAGTAACAAAAACATAATAGGTGAACATTGTAATGTCGTTGCGAAAAAATTGTGTTAAAGAAATAGTGTAAGAAACTTTGTGTGAATAAATCAATTGTTTTAAATAAACGACAGTAACGATATTTACAAATACAACTGAGAAACATGGTGTTTTATATATTACTGATAACAAATGTTTATTTTCGTTAATACAAATATAATATAAATATTTAATATAAGTATAATATAATATAAATAATTAATATAAATATATAGAAAATATAAATATATTATATGTATAATATAAATTATATTGAACTCCTTATACTACGTTTAACACATTCACAAATATAAAAATAGAAATAATCTTTGTCTCGTCAATTATTATTAATTATTTAAAAGACGTAAAGACGTTTAAAGCATCTTTATAGGAATTTGAACATTTCGTGTAGCAGAAGGGACATGGTTGTTCATCTATGTCGCGTTCGGTTTAATTGAAGCTGCAATGACGCTTTTGTTTACTGATGCGTCACGTCGTATTGTAACTCGGAAAGCGAGAACGCCATTAAAATAGTTAAATGCGCAATTATGTTCTTACGGCATGCAAAAAGTCGACTTTAACTATTTCCTGCAGCTGATAGAATCGGTAAAACTCGTAGAGAAATATTTAATAAATATCCCGTTTCGTGGAAAATTCTCTCGCAAATAAATTCTCCATGAACATGTTTCGTGGTGGTGCGTAAATTATGTACAAACACTCGAATTTTCTTCTGATATGTGAAATATTTTTTAAAATCTTTGAATTTTTTACTAGATATCAAATATTCTTTTTATTTTTTTTTTTTTTTAATATAAAAATAACATTTCTCTATTGTTGCGCAATCTGTTCGTTATTATCGCGCGAATGATTCTGCAGAATGAAATCGACATGTTTGCGTAGTGCACACACAGTAGATTATCACGCACGCACGCACACACAACGCAGCACACCTCTCTCGTTCGACGACGTAAACCTGCTTAAATTGCGAGAACTTCCGCTTTTATCGAGATATATTCTGTTCTCTCCCTTGGATTTCAGCCTACTCATGTTTCCGAACTCGGTAAGTTCTCAAAGAGTTGAGTCTCGGTTTTATGCGATATTCCAAGAGAGAATTCTCTATTACATATAATCAATATCTCTTACAGTAATACAATGATATTATAAGCCAATAAAAAAAAAAATAGAAATTGTAACTTGTCTCGCTTGAGGCGTTGGCGCACACATATAACAAAACGTCACAAAAGAATGTGTCAGAAAATAATCGGACACACACACACACACACACACACATACAAACAAACAAAACACACAATCTTTATTGAACGTGACAACGCGCGCGCAGCAGGGTGCAGAAATGTAATCGACATTATTGTTTCGCGACTTTAGTAATAAGAATGTCATTGGCCGTTTAACAGCTAAGATAGATGATAATCCACGTCTTTGTACGACCAAATATTCCGCCCTGCGTGGGGGCGGGTAATTTAAATTAATAACGGCATGTGCGGAACACAGGAGCGTAATTAGCAACAGGCGTACACCGGAGAAGTCAATAATAGGATATGCACCTGTGCATCGGAGGGATGTGCCACTAAATAAGCTCGTAATCGCTTTACGACTCTTGGAAGTAGTCTGCTTCTGCGTGTTTTAATTGATAACCCCGCAGCGTTATATTTATCACATCACTGAGGGCGTGGTGAAACGCGTATCTTTGCGGAATTACAGTTTCCAACGCGTACTGCAATTGCAGCAGCAGCTCTCTCTCTCTCTCTCTCTTTCTTTCTTTCTCGTAAACTCATAGTTATATACTACATTAAACGGGACACGCTGTATTCTCCGCGGCGCAATAAATCCTGAGCGCGCTGATCCGAATGGAGAACGGAAGGAAAAAGCGCAAAACCGCGAAATGTCGCGCTACCGTGACACATCGAATCGGATGAACGACGAGGAAATCGGAATAAAAAAAACTCGATGCTTTTTATTCGATGATCACCTTAAGAATCGTCTGGATTTTTTCGACCTAATTACGAAAAGAATTGTCCTGCGTAGTTTCACACTATACGACATAACGAGAATGTAGAACACGTTCGATTAAATTAATTACTTTCTCGTTAAAAAAAAAAAATGAAATTGTTAAAGACAGGTTTTAAAGCTTCAACATTTTCGTTACCTTCCAATAACTGCTAACTGTAAGTTAGCGTCTTATTTGGTTTTGTTAAATCAATACGATGTGTTAGCCATCTCTCGTCGTAAGGTGTTATGACCTAGATATGATGCATCGTCGTATCACAAGTAACGCCTGCTCTGTCACCGAGTGTTTCTATCTCCTCTAGTTGTCATTCGTGCCTGGCAACTGACGTCAGGCAGTAAGGCAGAGGCACGATGCTTGTCTCCGCTTGTGGTCTGCTCTCAAGGTTACGTATTTTGTGCCCGTATAGTAATTCCACTTACGCAACGACATACCGAGACCTCGGAGGCCACGTATAATAACGCTTCGAAGACATCAACAGACTTGGTAAATAAAGCTGAGTCAACAGGGCCGAGACGCGCCACCGTAAAAAATATCTTATGTTCATACATGTTGTTAGTGTTTTCGTTAAATTTCTTGACTCTCTTATCTTCAAACCTTCAGCCAGGCATATTCTCTTGATTATTTGTGTCACACTATTTTTCATAAAAGAGTTACGTTACGTAATTTTTTCTAAAATTTTTGAATCACAGAATATTAACTCTTCGTGAACAGACTCCAAAAACGCTTACCGGTTAGACGGACTGGGTCTGTGAGACCCACGCGACCCCCATTTAAAATCAAATGGGAGTCCGCAAAGAATCAATACTTTTTCTATTTTTCGAAAGTTTAAACAATTCTGCGTTGATCATGAAAAAAAAACATTGAACAAATCTCTAGTATTTTCGAAGATATAAGCGTTTAGAAACAATTTATTTTTACTAGGGACACCGGCTTGAAATTTTTGGGTGAGTCTGGGAGAGACCCACCCAGTCTATCCACCGAGGGTTAAAATCCGTTCGATTTATGAATTCAATTTTGTTCACTTGCTCAGAAATATATATTTTATTTGTCAGAAGAGGGTCGCGCTTCTTGACCGTTCGAAGACCAAACGATTCAATATATCAAAATACACACACACACGCGCGCGCGCGCGCGCGTGAAATATCCTAAGATTATTCTACGACCAAGCACTCGTGAATTACGAAGATATTATTTATTACATAAAGCCGACTCGGATCGAGGACATAGGTCACCGAGATTCTGCAGGGTTAACTCGTTTAACCTTTTCTCTATCTTTCTCTTTCTCTCGCACGAAATCGAGATCGAGATTTACGCGACCTTAGAGATGTATACTTTGATTAACAGAACTCTCGCGACGACGATCTCCTGTAGCTTGTTACTTTTGCTCGTCAGTCTTTTGTTGGAACAATATTGATGTGGAAAGAGAAAATATAAAATTAAAACGTGCGTATTCAAGTGCGAATAAAATAAAATAAAACATCAATGTGTTGTCTTATATTACTGTTACGCACACTACAGTGTCAAATCTTCCGACAATTTTACGGTTTTTTTTTCTCAGTTACCTTTTTCCCTTTCTTCCGCTCACCATCGGCCTTTTTTCTTCCTTCTTCTGGTCGCGCGCGCGGTTTTCTCACTCTTCTAATCACGAATCCACTCACGCACGCGTGTGTCGCGTCCGCGCACAGTATTATCAAAAAAATACAGATTGCCATCTCCATTAGGATTCGATTTCGAGCATCGTAACTATTGGGATGTTCGATTGTATTAAAAATAATGATACTCTTATTTGGTTACAAGCAATAAAGTGTTTTTTCAACCGTTCAATATCGGAAACCACAAAAGCTATCGCACTAACCATTAATTTGCGTTTGCACGAAATTGAATGAAACAAGAAGGGTTTCCCATTGTACACCCACGGCATTTAATCTCGGGTTACATTGCCGAAACTGTTGACGTTAGAGGCAAAAGCGAAGTACCCACGTAATACCGTTTGTTTTAAAGGTGTGCGTCAATAGTTTCCGAGTTTATAAACTTTTGATAAAATTTCCTGAAATGCAATTAAACTTTAGATGTGAATACTTTAGATATGTAACTTTCTCCTTTATTAAAACTTTCAAAACTTTTGGAGAAAAATATACAAATTACGAAAAATATGCAAAAAATTATGCAAACTTGTTAATAAGAGATAAGTGCAAGTTTTACAAGTAATTGTGAATAATGTTACGTGTGTATATGTACATACCTTACGGGTAATCCTTCGTGGCAAGGAAATCATGTTGCGAGTTAATCGTACGTCACGATCCAGTTACTTGACCCCGCAGGTCTAGCATGACGTTGCCTCGTCGGTCTGACAAGGAAGAGGTCATCGTGACTCTGAAGGTTCTCAATTGACCGAGTAACTGTAAAAAAAGCTATTTCCTCTCACTTATATATTTTAAACATTTTGCACCAAAGGTGCGTCAAATATCTCGAACGTAGATGTTCAATTTGAGTTGATAAAATATATATGATATATATATATATATAATATGTAGAAATATGGTTTAATTTATATTTTAGTAATCAATTTATATAAATTATTTAATTTTATTTCTTATATCATATTTTCATATTTTTTACTCAACAGTTTTATAAGGTTTTTTATTTATGATTTCGAGTATGTTTTTGGAGTCCAGCTTGTCAGACATTTGTTTATTTTACGAAACAGCCAGTTGTTGCAAACCTCGAAACAATAATATAAAAACTTCAATCTTCCTTTATAAAGAATTTTTAATTTGCGTTTATATTTTCAAATATTATTGTTTTTAATTTTTTTATTTATAAGATATAGTCCACAAAAGCAAAACCCGTATGTGAAAAAAATAATAAAACCACAAAGGAAACTTAACTCTACTAATATGTACTTTATGTAAAATATTATTTTGTTTTTATTTTGTTAAGCGTTATTTATAAATAAATTTTATGTGAAATTGTTAATTTACTTGGAAAAAAAAAGTCAAACTCTCTGAAATAAAAACAAGTGACGCGGTAAATGTGAACGACGCTGTGGGAAAGCTTATAGAGAAACGAAAGGAGAAAAAGCACACTCTCTGTGTACATATATAATATATATTATATTTCCATGATATATATATATGTATAGATATACATATATCGGTACGCGTGTACATCCACCTTTCGGATACAATGCATAACATCTATTATTTAGTAATATTTATCTGATATAATTCGTATGCATATACACACATGTAACATATGGTTTAAAGTGTTTAAGAGACGGTACGGGGGAGAAATATCTAAGTTTATACGCACCGTCAAGATAGACAAATCGCCGCTATATTTTAGACACAGATATACACATAATTTTAATTATTTCAATTTTTGCTTTGGCGACTGTAAGATAATTTCACGTCTTCTTTACGTCGGTGCTCAAATTCGAAAGAATTTTCGGAGAAAATTTCTCATTACACTTTATAATATCTTATCGATTACTCGCAATCGTTCTCGACGGAATCGACGGTGACCGAGAAACACCGGCGATCCGATTGGCGATAGTGGCTGGGAATAAATCTCCAATCGGAAGACACGGTAATTCCTATAATTTGTCATTGCGCAAATTTCCACGCAAACTTTCTTTCCAATTCTTCGTCTGGTCTAGAAGGATTGCGAATTTAGCAAAACATATATAAGATTCGGACTTGACTCGTCGGAGAAAAATGATATTTCTCGTGGCAAACGAGATTTTCAACATTGTTGTATACATTACGCACGAGTCAAGCTGCGGATTCTCTGTACAGATAAACTTTTGAAGAGGTCCGTCAAAAAGGTCGTCGAAAAGAGCAAGCAACTAATCGATATTGACAACGCACTAACTTTCATGTGTCATTCTTTTGATTCTTTTTGTTTGTTTTATTTGTATATCGTTGTGAAAAAATGCGATATATTTTTCTCTGAATTTAAACAACGCAATTTGTCGTCAAACAAAAACGCAATTACCAAGTTTTATCGCGTTTACATACATTTTGCGCAATGTCTGAAGTTTTGTTCGAGAACTTAAATACAGAAACTTATATATTAAGGTGAGCAACTATTCCGCGAATACGTGTAACAAATTTTTCTGAATACTTTCCGAAATTTATTTTTATTTGAAAAAAAATCTTTCTTTTCTTTGAAAGAAACATCGTGTGGCTGCAGCACATCTTCTCATGACTGCATTCCTCACGCCGTCTCTCGTCCGGAAGATTCGATCAGCAGCTGAAGCTGAAGGAACAGTCGATCAGCACAAGTCGTCTGCATTCTTGCGTTCGCCATTTTCAAGCTTCAGTTCGACGACGACGATGACCTTCGTCAAAAATGAAGATAAAACGGGAAACTCACAGGAGAGGTATTCAAAAAAAAAAAGAAAAAAGAAAAAACTCAGGAAGAATAAAAAATACAATAAAATATACATATGTATATATAATAATAAATGTAACATATAAATTTTCTCTTATATAAAAAAAAAATAATTATATGTACAATAAATTATTCTTCAAGAAAGGAAAGAGAAAATTGTTTATTAATCACAAATAGTCGAGCGCAGCTGATCCCGGTATATCAAATATCGCGAGAGAGGTAGATGTGAAAGACCGCATCTCGAGAGATCGAAAAGTTAAGAGAGTTATATCGCGCAAAGGTTTTTTTTTCGAGAGCGTGACATTTTTGCTATTTATTATCTTCAAGCCAATCGTATTGAACTCAACAAATATAATTGTATGTCTCTCTATAGAAAATGCGCGAGAAAAAAACAATAAAGGAATGTCAAAGCGTATCATTGAGGCCTTCGTTCTATAATCGAGAATCGGAGCGTTGAAGACGACGAATTGGAATTAATTCCACGGGACAGATTCGTCACGTAGGCTAACATTGTACGAGAAGAGGAACGTTGTCCGAACTTGACGAAATAGTTTCTTCGAAAAAGGCTATGATAATGAAAAAAAAAATAAAAAAATAAAAGAGAACGAAAAATAAAGAGAAGAGAGATAGAAGTCGCAAGCTAAGAGTAGAAAGACTAGAGCAGAGGAGAGGAGAGGAGAGGAAAATATTATTTAGCCCCACTTCTGGAAGAGACCCATCCGCTGACACTGGCAATTGGACATCCACAAATTGCAACGGCAGCTGGAGCTGTAGCAGCAATCGTTCGGTCGGTGATCGCAATTGCCGCCGCGCCTTATGCAACTTCGCCTATAAAAATATGACAGACGCAACGTACGTCTACTCGAAATTAGGGGAACCGAGAGAATATCTTTTTGCGACATCGAGACATCAAGAGGGAAATTTAAAGGGGAAAGAAAATTGTTGCGAACAAAAGACTGTTCAATTTTCAATTATTACATTCGGACGCAACGACGCATTACCGAGTGAAGTTTAAAAATACTTATTATTTACATTCTCGGGATTGTAACAGGTTTGCAAAATTATTATTATTTTGCACATTTTCAACTGCGTTAGCTCTGGACTTTTTTGTAACATTTTATGTCAGTTATGTCAGCGCATAAAATGTTTATACACTATTTTTACACAACTCTTAATTAAGGAAATAATTAAAGGGGAAAGTGTTATATATTCTCTAAGCGTGGAAACTTATTTTGAAAAAATAGAGTCGTAGAGAGAAAAAAACTAAAAACCAGGAAATGATAAGCAAGAAGAAACTCTACTCACTTCTGCGCTGCCCGAATCAAATTCTCCAAAGCATTGTCTGCATACTCCGAGGAATCAACACCTTGAAGTTCGCCTACGTCTTCTGCGAAAATAAATAAAACAAAAAAGTTTGTGTTAGTATGAGATCTACAAGTAAAAGTCTCGTCTTAAAGATAGATAGATAGATAGATAGATAGATAGATAGATAGAGAGAGAGCAAAAATAGAAAAGCGTTCTACACATATCCTTTTCTTCTTTTCTACATGCCAACACAAAGATGTTAACATCTCCTAACAATGTCGCGAGTATATAAGTTGCTCCGACTCGATGTGCAACCATCAAAGTAGATATTTGTCCGCTGATTTTTTTGTACGAAGGCAAATCTATCAAATAAACCGTAAATATTCCGAGATTAAAACATTCGATCGAGAAAAAGCACGTTCTTTTCATGTTCGTTGGTGCGTGTATGTTTTATGTATAATCTACTTTGATAAAGTTCACGAAGGACTGAATGCTCTTAATAAATAGTAATGTGTTAAGTTTTTTCTGGAAAAAAAAGACGGAGGACACAGAAATACATAAATCAAGGTTATATATTCAACATTTCTTTAGTTTTTCTTTATTATCGCGCAACTTCGTCTTTTTTCGCGGCAGTGTAGTCTTTCACAGAAGGAGAGAAGAGAGGTAAATTACGACTCGTTAAACACATTACACTGAATCTCGTTATACTTTCTCGAAACTTGTGCGAGAAAAAACAAATGAAAAAGTACGTTACACCATCTCGGAGCAAATAGAGCGAAGTTCGATTTTTCGGTGTTTTTCTTTGAAAATTTCTCTCTTTAAGTTTCTTCCCTTATCGACGCAATATGTATTATTCATTTTGTTCTTTTAGTTTCTTCAAATTTGCTCACTAACGCACAAGAACAGCGAAAAAATTTAAAAAAAGACACTAACATATAGCGCGAAAGAGAATAATAATAATAATAAATCTTAAAATAAAAATAAGATTAAAAGTAAAAATTTTTAACTAAAGAACTTTTCATACGCGCGTTTGAACAAAATATATCGTATTACGGCCGCGTGTTATCAAGTTGAGCGTCTTCAGAAAAAAACTGAGAGAAGAAAATTCACGAAGAAAAAAGATAAATACTCAATTTTATACTCGTTAGGTAGTTAATCTTGATGAGAGTGATTCTTTCCAAGTTATTGGCTCGTGAGAAACGCAAAATGACGACAATCCATTATTTTTCTTTTTTTTTTCTCTCTCTCTCTCTCGTTTTTTTCTTTTCTCTCTCCGTCGGCAACTTTCATAAGATGAAGATTTTCTAATCTACAGATCTTCCTTCTTTTTTTTTTCCTTCGTCTTGTTTCGCCAACTTTTCGCGAATGCTCCAGGGATATTGTTGTTATTTCAACAATGTACAGCGGGACAGGGAATTGCAAAATTATTTTCATTCAAAGCAACAAGATCGTATCTTTCACCACACTCAAAAGAGTCTTCACGTACCGCGGAGAGACAAATAGTAATATTCCAAAATGGAGAGTAATTTTTGTAAATTAACTTCTTGATTAAAATAATAATGAGCCAGCGTTTGTTCTTTTGAAGAATGAAAGTTGATAACAGCAACGTGACACTGTCGTTATCTTTCGCGTTGTTTCAGATATTTTATATATATATATATATTTTATATATATTGTTTTTTTTATCAGTCGCTCCTTGTGTATTATATACACACACGTTTATACATATAAGAACAAATAAATATACCATTGCAAGAATTTAATACACGGTTGTGTTACGTTGTGCGGCAATTATTATCCTTCACGCATTTTTTTTTTTTCAGTCCCGATGTGAATAAAGTGCGCAGAAATGCAAAAGAAATATTTCGAAATAATATGTTGCAATTTTTTGTAACTTAATAAAAAAAAAAAAGAAACAAATTGCACATCTCATCATTAATACTTGAAATATGAGAAAAGCAAACTAATTGAAAACGGACATGTAGCCGATAGACGACGAAACGAATAAAGAACACGTCCGTTGCGAGATATGTAACGAGAAATCGAACAAACAATTGCCTTTGAAGGAAACCCCGAAAAGCAATCAGACGCGCACGTAATTAAATCGTCGAGACCGACACCCCGCCGGAAGCTGAATAACAGTTTCATTAAAAGCACCGGTGGCGGTTCTTAGTCATCATTATCGTTAATGAAACGATCAAGTTTGTTGGATTACAGCGGTTTTACACTAGAATTTAAGCCGCGCTTATTTCTCAAATTTTTGCGTAAGAACGCAACAATTCGATACACAGATAACCGGTTCACATACACAATTCCGAGCGATTCGATATCTCACTACGCGTGTGTAGACTTTCGAAACATAGTTTCAAGCAGAAGCTGTTTAGTTGAACGTCGGCTTCAACCGGAGAACACTGTAAGAATCTAATAATATTCGATAATTTTATTCTATTTCTCTTTTATTCGCTCTTCTGTACGCGTCCGATCATATACAGATCTGCACCACTCGCGTTCATCACTTTCTGTCGCACCACTGAACGATAGTGCGCGCGATACACGACTCCAGTTCGCCAAGATGTCTAACAAATTTTAACAAATTGTATAGATAAACACGTAACTTTTAACTAAATTGTTCAAGTAGAAAAACGAATTTTATAGATAAACTTTTATCGCGAAAAAGTCAAGTATCTTCGTTTTGCTAAAACTTGGGGAAAAAAAAAACGTTAACTTGAAACTCTCGAACGTACGTCAGCAGGATTATGCATTCTTGTTTTTGGACTTCTCTTGTAAGTCATAAATAAATTATGAGAAACTTGCATCTCACACATAATCCTTTACACACTTATAATACTCTTACATTACTCTTTGTCAAACATGACACGTGAAATCTTAAAATATTAAGCGAACTTGACGTACAAGTTTAAATGAGTTTCAAAATGTAATTTGATGTGCGAAGCGCGCTTATAGTTTATAAGTTTTAATATTGACTTTTTATTTTGTGCAGAGAGAAAGAGAGAGAGAAATTCTAAATATAAGTTAGAATATTTGAATCGAAAAGAACAAAGTTTTTAGTGGTTTACACAGACGAGCAAATTTGTTCAAAGTATTACGACTTTTTTCCGATAAACAAGAAATTAAATTAGTCTTACAACGAGGATAAAATTTGTTTTAATAAAACTTTTCCCGTTAGATAATAATGAAAGTTTACTCAAACATTCTACTCTGGTCCCACACAAAACTCCTAGTTTCTCGGTGTCGAAACTTCACAGATGCAAACATATGTTACATATTTATGAGAAGTGTCATAGATTTCTTTGCACACTATATATACAGAATATATAAAAGTACCTATTTATATACAAAATTTGAAAGAAGTAAGTTTTCTATTTATATGTAAATCAAAAATTTCATCGCACACTTAAAATTACGTTTATATTTATGAAAAACGAATTAAATTAATCTGATATAAATAATAATAAAAAATATCTTTTTTAAAATATTAATGTGAAAAATTGTTTATTTAGACCGTGTCTGTTCGCTTATGGACAGAAAATTTTTTTATTATATGTATGTAAAATTTTTGAAAAAACACATAAGAATTAAAAGTAATACAAAAATAAAATACAATGCAAAAGAATAAATAATATCTGCAGTTACGTATGTGTGTACGTAAAACATTCGGATAATTTCTCGCCGTTTCTTTCTCGCACAACAATGTAAATAACCGAAGTTTAACATGGAAAGTCTGTCAAATGTGTAAAAGAAAAACTTCAATTATTTGCTGTTTTATTATGTTCTTTGAGTTTGTGTGTTGTGTTGAGAATAATGTAAAGCTTGCAAGAAAGAACCGGAATTATCATCGGAACTCACCACCGTCGTCGATATAAGGACTGGCGAAGCTGTTGGCGGCCAGGATGACCAACAGAAGAGAGCACCATAGAATCCAGGACCTCATATCCGCTATAGAATCACTTGATAATTTAGTAGCGCGAACGGAAAAAAGGTTTCGCAACGCAAAAGTTTGTAACGCAAAGTCTCGACTGCCTTGTTCGTCGTCCTTTGCGCTCAGATAAGGAGTCTCACCCTTTCAGCTCTCACCGGATACTGGGGCGCGAGTGAGAGTCCTACCACGATCGCGGTGCTTATATAGGTGCGGGAGGCGTGGCGATGCGCCCCCACAAAGATACATAGAAGCGAAGCTTGAGCTTTTGGTTTAGACGCAAGATTCTCTCCACGCGTACAGAAGCATCTCTTTGAACAAGGTAAAAGGATGGGGGTTGAAACTGTTTTATTAGGAAGTTGGTGCTGCTACCCCGCAGTTGCTGCCGCTCGATTGTGCTTTCGACGAACTCGTACTCTTCAACAGGAGCAACTAGTTGCAAAGCAACTGGTACCCGAACACTTTCCTTTCTCTTCTCTTCTCTTTCTCTTTTTATCTGGCCTGTCTGTCTGTTTTGTTTCTTGACTGACAACCTTTAAGAGGGTCCTGGAGTAAGACCCGAAGTCCGCACTGGGGTCTCTGCCCGGAAAGTGGCGCCCTCAGTGGTTAAGTTATTNCGTCCTTCTTTTAAAGTGAGACGGGCAATCGCGCTGTCTATCGCGTCACCGGTCTTTCGTCGCAAGACTCGAGC